AGTACTTGTTGTTGCTACATGTGGAGTATCATAGTTGATTTTATGATATTACTTGGTATATATTGATTTCTGTTTTGAGTTGGCCGATGATATCTACTCAGTACCCGTGTTTTGTACTGACCCCTACTTTTATGTTTTCTTCTTGTTTATTTGTGGAGTGCAGCAAACGTGTCGTCATCTTCGACTCAACAGTAACTCTAGCCAGTCTTCATTACTCCGGATATCAGGGTGAGCTAATGCTTCTAGCTTGGACTGGATCTTCCTCTTCATGTCTTGATGCCTTGAAGTTCTGACATGGACTAGCTTTTATGTATTTTTAGCTTCTTAGAAACTCTTAGATTTAGTAATTTGAAGTAGATGTTCTTGTGATGATGACTTCCAGATTTTGGGAAATAATAGTTATTGAATTGTTTTTTATTAATGAGTTTAAGTCTTCCGCATTACTTTATGTTGATATTACATTGAAATGTTAAGGTTTAGATTGGTTGGTTCGCTCACATAGGAGGGTAAGTGTGGGTGTCAGTCGCGGCTCGGTTTTGGGTCGTGACACTCACCCTTTTAAAATTAACTAAATTTTCAAGATTTCTTCACTAAACTTTAGCCTAAACAAAACTTATAATTTTTACTGAAAACTTAATCTTTTTCTTACTTTTTTCATCAATATTTTCCACTTGAAAACTTAGGAAGATTCATGGATCGGTTAACACTTTTTGGGGTGTATTTCATAGATTCGTTTAACCGACATATTGACACTCAAATCAGCCCCACTTCCGTTTCAATGAACATCACGATTTACATAGGTTTATACACGTAAAATGACAATCAAAACAATATCAAACTTGAAGCCTTAACTTGAGACTTCATTCACAGTACATTCACTATAACCTTTTTGCACATACACACACTTGCTCAAACTTTAGAACACATGGTTGTCTTTCCTACGATTTCAAGCATACAAAAAAATCATGTTCATCATAAAATCATAACATACACTTAAATCTACCAGCAATCATATCCAACCTATGATTCATTGGGAGCTAGTGACTGTGGCATGCAAAAAGGGAAACAATCCGAGTTTTCGAACAAATAATTTGAACATCAAGGGGTCTCTTGGAAAATGTACCAAGACAGAAGAAAACTCATACCTTTTTGAAGTTAAACTCTTGAATTTCTGCCCAAAAACTTCACCCAAGAACACGTCTACACCTTCTCAATATCAACTCCACTCGAATGACAACCTCTCTTAGCCTAGTCTGCAATTAATGTTTGCTTTCTTGTGATTTCGTGTTAGTTCTTCAAGTGTGAAGAACTTGGTTTATTTTTCTGCTTTTGTATCTTATTTTAGCAGAGAAATTTCATGTGAAATAACAAGGGATATTAAGCGTGAGAATTGAGACATAGACGTGAGAGAGTAGGAGTTATATTAGGCTTAGGAGTCTAGTTTATGACTTAATCAAATAAGATTTACTTAATTATTAAAAATCTGATTTTTGTTTTATTTTAAATCAACTAATGAATAATAATTATTAGTTAATAATATTAATTCAATAGCTTAAATAAAAATAACATTAATTCATTGCTTCCACGTAGGTCCAAACCCGGGTGAAGCAAGACTTCACTTCCAAAGCTCAATTTTGGCTCTCTCTCTCCAAATTGACCCTCCACCTTATTAATTAAATAATTAATTATATATTTAAGATAATTATGATATTATCCTTATCCTGGAAAAAGACCATTTTACCTCTAGACCCTCCAAACCTAAGATTTCCTCTTTTTTAAGTTCAGTAAAGACTCATTTGAGTAAATCTTCGTATTCGAGAGCCATACATGGTTGGACCCAATCTTTCCTAGCTAAACAAACTCCCATGTTAGTTGGCTTGGATGTATCAAGGGTTTCGAAGTCTGGTTCTACGCACATCAATCCGTGTGAACCCTGATCTAATCATTGGCATTCTTGACACATTAAGTATCACTTAGTATATCCCTTTTTAGGGTTGTTACATAATTTTATATTAAACTTCTCTCTTAATTTAACAATTTTTGCAAACAATCTTGCAAAAACTAATTTGTAAGTTGATACAAATCACATGTGAACATTCCATAGATGCATTTATTAAATCATAATAGTAAGAGGTCCACATGGCAGGTGAACGACCCATATTCACCTTTTTATATGTTCTAAATAATTCAAGGATACAATCTCAACCTTTGTTGGTACAATAATCATTTTATCATGAGAACAAACAACATAAGAGAATTCTTGAAAAATCTTTTATTTTTTCAAACATATAGTCACGTGAATTCTCAACTTCTTTTGCATCACATTTGAATTGAAATGTTCAATTGATTATGCCAACTAATACTTAAAATAGTAAACTTCTAGTTTACTTTTGCATGTGATTTTATCATCATGCCCGCATTTTTATACAACAAAGAAAGGGTATATAATGGGTAATCGTATAAGTAAATAATTATAACCCACTTTGGTTGTTGTAATTTGAAGATATTAAATTTTCCCATAATATATAGTCTCAATACAATATTTTTTTCAATTCTTTCAAAACATAAAAAGTTTCTTTGAGACTTACTGCAACATCAATATTATGAACAATTTCATTCCTTCAGATAGTAGTAAATTAGCCCTTTCGGAACTCCCAATTAATTTTGTGTACTACCACAAATTTTACAACGTCATTCTTATGATGACCATCTCCTTCAAGGAGAAAAATATTATTATTGGCATGGTTAAAGTTATCACATGCAAGACTTATATCTTGGCAATCAATGACAAATTTGTGTTCCCACACAACAACATTTATTTTGGTCATGGCCACAATCTTTATAGAAAAGATTTATTTCTTTCTTTTGTCCTCCAATAGTTCATAATAAAACATACCACAATTTTTGTGTAGTACTCAAAGTATATAAACCAAAGTGATCATTTATGTCAAAATATTTTCTTTCAATCTCTCAAACCTCCTGTAAAGGTGAGATGTGATATTCATCCAACAATACATGGACATATTCTTATCCATACGAAAACAAATCACATTTTCTTCAAGAAATTGATCATAACCATTTGAAGGAACATCTTAAGAACCCGTAATGTTACCATTAATATTTTACCACACTCATATTCATATAATTAACCACTTGTCATTTTTCAGTCATATTATGCTCTACGAACACATTCACATAAGAGAATGGAGCAAATTAATTGGGCAGATTTCATGATTTTTATCAAGAGCATATCAATTTGCTCAATCATCACTATAATCAGTATTCTATATTATGTTGGGACTTGAATTCAATTTCTTACCCGTAAGAAGGCATTTTAGGTCATCATTTGTTGGGATCCAATGCAACATTTTATCAACATGATGTATCAGGACTATCACCCGATTACCTCTTGGTGCGATAGGACTTGAATTCTTTGTCTTACCCTCAATCAATGACATAATATGGCAAATATGGTATGACTCACCATTGAGCCTTTTAGAAAAAATATTATCACTTTCGGATTAATATGTACAAATAAATATAGTCCAAAAGAAACACGATAAAAATATTCTCAAAAAAGTACGTACTAATATCGTAAACTTATCAAAATAGAGAGTTACATATAGCATACATACTAATATCGTAAACTTATCAAAATAGGGAGTTACATATAGTATTATATTATGTTATATTATGTGTGGTGCATAATAATTAAGCTAGGGAATTATATTTATAAATCAGGAAATCAATATCCAGATTGAGAAAATAATAATTCCAATCACACTGAAATAAAACTGCTTCCTACCATCACCCATTTTAAATTTTCAGGTGAACTCAAAATATCTCACACACAAAACAAAATAGATTAAACACTTATGTAATAACGAAAATAGTGAGCATAATCATAAATAAAATATAAAATTGATTATATAATAATTTACTTTGTTTCTGAGAGAAAAATAAACAGATATTTTTACTTTTTTTATATTTACTTTGCTCCAATCCTTCAATAGTAGAACAATCGTGTTGATAACGTTTTGTAAAACATAAGAACAATAGAATTATATAAAGATGAAGATAAGAAGAATATAAGACAAGAGAATAACTTTCTTTGTTTCAAGTATTCACCAAATTTTCAAGTGTATACAATATGAACTCTTATATCTTTACTTATAGTGTAACATAGAGACACACAAAAAGTTAATCATAAACATGAATATAATGGGGGATGTTATAAAAGTAAAAGGTTATAAGAATAATGATTATGAAGATTATGATTATATTCATAATTGAGAAACTAATAGAGTAAATTGTTATTTTAGTGGACATTCACATATATTATTTTATAACTTCAAATAGTAAAAAATATTAAAGGGTAATAGATAGAGTATTTTAATTAAATGAAATATACGAAGCCCAGGATTTTTTGTGGATGCGAAGTTAACTGTGGGGGATTTGATGCCAAGTTATGTTGGCGGTTTTGGGAAACTGTAGATTGTTGTTTGGGGTTTTTGTTGGCTGATATTTATTTCCTTTTGTTTTCTTCTCTTTTTTTTTCAAATTTATATTAGTTGTATTTTCATTATCATGATTTGTACCAAGACCTTTTCAATATACGAATATTTACTGTAATGATTCTTGTTGATTTGTTGCGGAAGTCATAAATCTTGTTACGTGAGATTTCTATTGTGCTATGTAATACAAATTTATGGTTAGTTTGATAGTTTTAAAAACTTATGGGCATAAATCATATTTTTTAAAAAAATGAAATATGTTTCTCAAATTCTATGGCCAAACACATGGTAAAATTTCATCCAAATTTTCATCCAAATAATATTTGCCAAAAATATTTGAATATCTATGACCGAACGGTAGCTTAATATTTAGGTGAGTGAAAAGGATGTAGTGGTGTTAATTATTAATGACTTAATGGTTGTAGTTGTGGACTTATTCTTTAGTCAACTAACCAAAATGAATATTGTCTTTATTTGCTTTGGGGATAATTTTGCAATTACTCAATGTTTATGTAAAGTTGATTGATGATGTTTGGTTCAGGTTTTGACAGTCCTCCCGTTGGTGTTTATGAGAAGAATTCGAATTGTACAGTTGAGGAGGGATGTACAAGTTCAGCAGCACCTATGATGTACGGACTTGGGAAGCGAAACAACAGCAGTGTTGAGCTGCCACTCCCGTCCTTGTCTAAGAAAACAAAGTCATCTACTCACAATCCACTAAAACCGCACTGTCAGGTTGATTCCTGCAATCTTGATCTCTCTTCAGCTAAACAATATCACCGAAAACATCGAGTTTGTCACATTCATTCCAAATGCCCAAAAGTCATTATACTAGGTCGACACCGACGCTTTTGTCAGCAGTGTAGCAGGTAAACCACTTAATAACAACTAATTCTTCTTTCGTCCCCATGCCATATTTTGACATCATTAATTCCTTCTCCCACTCAAGGTTCCATAGCTTGTCTGATTTTGATGAAAACAAACGAAGCTGTCGCACCAGGCTTTCTGATCACAATGCACGCCGCCGCAAGCCACAGTTTAACTCCACAAGCACGAGGTTTTCTTCGTTGTTTTATGGTATGATACCTATATATGTTAAGATTAATTGCTTAAATGTGAATCAGTGAGCATTCAAATAAAAAGGTTTCTGGAGAAGACTAATTTTTAATATGGACACAAATGTGATTAATTCCCAATGTTTCTATAAGATCAAATTCTTTTTCTATGCCATTGGTTTGCTTTAATCCATACATTTTAATTTTAAGGCATACACACACCTATAAAAGTATTTATACTCGAACAATTTTCCCATCTGAGATTGGATATGTAGCTTCTTTCTTATAATGACATGAAATGTGACTTTTTCTGTACGTCTTCTGCTATTATCTTTCTCTGTTTTGTTTCTTTGAACATGTTCTGTGGTGGAGGTTCATCCAACTTTTAGTTCACCTCTTTTTGCATTTTTCTAGTTCTACTGTCCTATTATACCCTTTCTTTCTCTGGTGATGGGTGCTGGTGCATGAAGGGTGGAGGTTGTGGTGACTGCAGCAGCGAAATCAGAATTTTCATAATATTAATGAAATCAACGGGATTCTAACAGACAGTATATGTGCATAGAATTATTTTTTATACCATTCAGCATGTAATTTTTCTGCAAAGTGTTGTCAATTGACTCTTCTTGGACGAGTATAGCTTCACAAACGGTGATGACTGATGAGTGTGGGGTAGGGAGCTAATTAGAACATTTTTTTATTCAGGTTTCTACCTTATCAATTATCATCTAATTGAAAGACATTTCTTACATTGTTTTTTGTCTTGTGCTTACCCACTACCATTTCATGTTCTTATGCATTTACAGATAATAAGCAATCGATGAATCTTGTGTTCAACAATGCCCCCCTTGTCCACTCTAAACCTACTGCAGATTCTACCTGGGAAACCTCTGAAGTTTCCAAGTTCACATTAACAAGAGGGTTAACTTTAAAGCCCTACAAAGCTGACAGTTTTAATGGGCAATCACTTGTGGGGGGATTCAAGCTTTCAGGGACCACTGAGATGCAGACCAATGCATCTAACTTATACTCGGTGTCCAATGACACAAAAGCTGAGGTCTTCAGTCAAGGTTTGTTTCAATACCAAGGAACTCCACCCTACAATAGTTTTCATTTTAAGTTCTGTTGTAGTTCTCCTTGTTGTTCATGAGATCCATCATTAATCTTTTCTTCTCTTGATTTGAGTGGGAAAGATCTCTACTTTTGTGTTGGTAAGGCTAGTTCTCTCTAAAGATATGCATCAAGTCATTGAATTATTAGCTTTCAGTGGCTGCAAGATATCTTAATATAACAACTGATATTTGCATGATAATCACATGGCTTGCACGAGTACTTAAACTTCTTGATGAACCTATTGGATAAATTTTATATTCTGCACACTTTTTCTTGGAACTGAATTGAAAGCTTTACCTTTATGCCGTAGGAAACCCTTGTATGTTGGGTTATAAATATTGGTTCTGCAGATGATAGAAATTATTGTTATTGCCTGATTTCTGGTTGTGATCCTTAATTTCTTTTAAAAAGCCTAATCTTACTAGACTCTCAAGGGTTCAAGTACAAATTATCCATGTTTTTTTGTTACTGAGACCTAAAATAATGGTTGAAGCTGAATATAAATTATCATGACCCAAAAACCAAGGTCCTGATGGAACCTATCCTAACCCACCGATAGGTGAGCCAACCCTTATCTAGACCAAATATTAAATACATCGCCAGACAAATGTAAATAAGTAGCGGAAGTGAAGTCTTAACATTAGGCTTTCATAAATCAAAACCGAAATGTGGAATAATAACGTTTGCAACCCCAAAATCTGGTGACATGAGTACAAGCCTCGAAGATATACCAATAAGATCCAAAATTACTACACTGTTTGAAAGTTAAGACAGGAAATAAACAAAGAAATGAAAGTTTGGATGCTGCAGAACAGCTAAGCAGCTACCTAGAAAGACTTCAATGAACACCAATGAGGATCACCTAGTGCTAGTACTGGGCTCGGAACCTGCACAGTAGAGGTGCAGAAAGCAAGGGTGAGTACGAAAGATCACATGTACTCAGCAACATTGTTGACCGACTTTTAAAAGAAGCAATGGCGAAGATCAGTCCTACACTGCTCCTTCAACACTTGGGCAAAAATATCAGAATAAAACCTTTGTTAAAAGGCAGACTAGCAGTTAAAGACAATATCAAATCAGTTCATAAACAATGCCTAATCCAGCTAAAATCTGCGATTTCCACAGTAAATATAAACTATGGCACACCATCTATTTGGGTCAAAACAGCCAACAAAGAGAAAAATAGTCATGTTCATTGACACTTAGCCATTTCACATTCACGAATCAACAAGTTATGTAAAGATGATGGGATGAATGCAATGCATGTGCTACGTATACACCCGCTTCCTCTGTCCGGTAGTAGGTACCAAGGAGGACACATAAGGTCTGTCTACTGTGCAGGCGTGCAACTCCGATCCATAAATATTATTTAATAATACATGTAGAGATGTGCAACTCCGATCCATATATGTATGTGCATGATGCAACTCCAATCTCAATGATATTGTTATGTAGGCGTGCAATACCGATCCCAAACTTTAAAACTTTTTATGAACCTTAAATTTTTTAAAAATCATGAATCCAACCAATAATCAAATCACTCCCGAATACTTGGGGATCCATACCAACCACCCAATTAAGTCAAAAATCACTTTTCCAGACCTAACAGAACTGTTAGACTTTGAACCTGCACTTGTTAACCTAGAAAATTGACTTTGGTCAAACTTTAGGCCTTCAAATTTGAAAATATCATCCAATATTCATCCGACCACCTCAGTAATCATGTCACTCATCCCCGCAAGTCACAAATGATATACTGAAGCTATGGAGTGGGTTAAAAAACAGGACATGCAGAAAACTAAAAACGACTATGAGTCGTTACACAGACGGTCTACCACTTCTATTGTTCGATGATCAATTCATTTGTAAGAACTTAACTTGAATGCATCATAAACTAATAGAAGTATGCAGTGGTTGTGGATCATGATTTATTTTCTCTCTTCTCTCACTAAGTATCTTGGAAAATTAAAAGATTTAGGTGACAGCATAGAGCTGTTGCCTAATACCACCAAAAGGTTCTTAACCAAGAAAGGCCTAGATGATGGTTAGGTTAGTAACCTTGCATTAAAGATTGTAAGCACTGACAAAAAGAAGTGAAATGTTCAGTAGCATCTGTTATACAATGTATATGTACTAAGCTTGTAAAAAATTATGGGACGAAAGAGTTTGCTTCTTTACAATATAGCTATATGTAAACGTGTTTAGTTTCTTTGAAGGTACAAAGTATCTATTGCTGGTACACACCAAGGTGTAGCCCGACAGTCAAAGAACGGGAGTGACAATTTTTGCTCTGGAGACCATGGTACAAATACAAAAGAGGCACACTGGGTGAGCTTGTTTTATATGTGCAAGCTTTGGTGGACAAAGTTATCGATATGTGCTTTGGTAGAGAGTTCTAGGTGGCCTGTGGATTAAAGTAAGTTTCAGTAAGTTGGCCTAATGCCACTTGAAAAGAAAGGTTACCAGCTAATCCTGATATTTCCCATTTGATGGGATGTAAATACTCTATCAGGCACACATAGAATGTATAGTTTCTTTCATCAGTCGAAGAAGCCATGTGCAGGCATCCAAAAATGTGGACATTTACCTTTCTTCTTAGTTCTGATAGAAAACACTTGGGCAATGTACAGAAATGATGGGACAAATTTTGTTTATCTTTGTTTGATGGGAGTTTGGAGAGGAGTGACAGGAGATGCTTGAGCGTTTGATTTCTTAGACAATTTGCCTCCAGCATTTATATGTTGCTGATCGGAGTAAAGAGGATAAAATATCAGTTATATTGTTGTTTGCTCTCATTAATGGAGTAAAGAGGATATAATATCAGTTATATTGTTGTTTGCTCTCATTAATGGTACAATAATAGTGAGATTACATGTTGCTAGTTATATATCTGCAGTAGAATATTTTGCCCCTTGTCAGTATAATAGGAATAACGTACTTGAATCCAATTTATCTTGTTTGCTTTTATGATTGGCCAAATTACCTTTGTAAAAGCTTCTAAGGAGCTGTCTTCAATCAGTTTTCTGAGAGTTCTCTTACATTCATATGTGTTCTCAAAAGTAACTTGAAATGCTAGATATTATATTCACCTGAGGCACCATGTTATTTAAAATTCACAATGTTATTACTTTTATTTCTATGATTGTTTGATTATTAAATAAAAAAACCTTTGATTTCTCTATCAGGTGTCAAGGAGACCACGTTCTCTCTAAATATGGGTGTGGCGCCAGAATTACCTCGTGCTCTCTCTCTTCTGTCAAATGAGAATGAATTTATTTCAATTGGCCACTCCAAGCATGTAAACCAGATCATCATACCGGAGCAGGTGACGCATGCAATTCCTCAGAGTTTGCCATTTGAGTCCAGTGAACGCTGGCAAGCTGAGCAACATCTATTCAATCCACACATTCATACGTTGGTTGCGAATGGTCACAGTGGTGGTAGCTTTCAGGAAATCCAGCTTTCCAAAGATCCATTTGACGATTCCTATATGTCAATGGATTGAACTGCAGGGTAGAATAGTCAGCCTACTCTCAACATCGAAATGGATCTGATTACAATTTTTGCTGGCTCTACTTTTTCCATTTAAGCAGTTGTTAAACTGGACCCACCAGATGGTTTATAAGTAGGGTATTGGAAGCAGCCTTTCAGCCTTACACAAGTGCATGGAACTCCAGATGTCGAAAGAAAGCTTTGGATTGAAAAGTATGCCGTATTTATTTGCTTAATAAACCAACATGGGTTGTTACTTGTTTCTGCACTTTAACATGATATTACGACAAAGATCTAATGTAATGTATGATAGGCCAAAACGCCGAGATGGTGAATTTATCTATCTAAAATGGTTCTGATATGGGATTCAGTTGAATTGGATTACCTTCACCTAGAATTTTCGGGTAAAAATGACTAATATGGTTTTGTCTTGTCAAGACGGTTGAACTTACATAACGATAATAGCTTTAGTAAATTTTGATTCTTGAAGTCTCTTATGTTAGAAATCATTTGTGCTGAGCTGAGATCCTGGGAAATTTCTGATACCAAAATGAAGGTATGAGATAAGAAGAACAATAAAGAGGAAGAGGAAGAACATACGAGAAATTGAGAGAGAATTAGGGAGGAATGGGAAATTGTATTGAGCTCACACATTCAAATTATGCCTCACAAGTATTATCCACTCCTATTAATACTACTTAGTCAGAAGTAAAGGAAAATACAATGAACAATAAACTAACTATTTTTCCCGCCAAAAAGTGATCATGCTAATTGTGTGATCGTCAAGCTCAGCAATGATGTGGCACCTGCATGTGATTGAAGCATTACATGGCTCTTGAATCCAAATTGGTATCAATCGCCTCTGTGAAACAACACCCTTTCCCACAAGGGTGATAGAAGAAAACCTACTCTACAATGCAGAAGCCAACAGTTCCCAAGTTGCATGAGATTGATAAAGACCAGACCACTGGATAAGTCACTAAGCAACCGTTTGATACCATGCTTCACCATTCGGCGCTCCTAGATATATTCAGGCTCAGGGCGATAAGGACTAGACAATTCAATGACAAAAGGATGCACTATAGTACTGCAATTCATGACAAAATTTAAGCCAAGAAATATGGAAGATAGGATGCATTTGCACCTCAGGAGGGAGGAGTCTGTAAGCCACAACATCTATCTTCTCCACAACGAGATATGGACCAAAATATCTAGAACTGAGTTTGTGATATGGAAAAATAGACAAGGAAGACTGTCTATAAGGTTGAAGTTTAACATAAACCCAATCACAAACCTAGAAATGCCTATCAGTCCTATGAGTATTGGCATGTGCATTCATCCTTTGTTGGGCTTGATGCAAATGAAACTTAGCCAACTCAAGTTCAAATTGTCTGCTTAACTAAAATCCTGAACAATATCAGATTCAGAGTCACCAGGCAAGTACAAAAGATGTAAGAGAGGAAGATGACCATATAACAACTCAAAAAGAGAAGTTTGAATAGAAGAATATGGGCCAGAGTTGTACCACCATTCAACTAAGGCTAGACAAGAAACCCAATTAGCAGGAAGAAACATCTGAGATAAGTTTCAAGACACCTATTCAGAACGTCAGTTTATCCATCAATCGGAGGATGGTAAGTTGTAAAAGTCTGCATGGACACCCCCTGAATACTTAAGAATGCCTTCCGAAAGTTGCTAATGCATATAGGATCCCTATCACAGATTATAGTTGCTGGAAACCGTGCAATTTGAAAATGTTATCCAAGAAGATAGGAACAAGAGATTGAGGACTATAGGGATGTGATAAGTCAATAAAAAGACCAGCTTTGGTTAATCTATCAACTACTACCCAAATAACAGTTTTTCCTTCATATCTAGGGAGTCCTTCAATAAAGTACATACATATAATTGTCCATGGAAAAGAAGGCACAGGCAGGGACTGGACCAGACCAAAATAAGATGATGTCTCATACTTGTTCCTTTGGTACATAGCACACTTGGGCACAAAAACAACTAATATGATTGAATACACTTCCAATAAAAATAAGCCATGACCTTCTTATTAGTGGCATCAATGCCTGAATGCCCACCACTAGGAGTATAATGCCATACTGATAAAGATTTTGGCCTAAAATAAGAATCATCACTAATAACTAATTTCCCTTTTCTTCTCAGTTGTGCATTAAGCCAAGTGAGATGCTTATGAGGTTGCGCCTGCAAGTTCTGCACCTTGGATCCTAGACAAAGCATCCGCAACCAAATTTTTCTTATCCTTTTTATACTAAATTTTAAAGTCAAAAGGCAACAGTTAAGCCAATCACCTAATCTGAGAATCTATATGTAGCTTTTGCTCCAATAGATAATTCAAGGCTTTGTGATCAGTTTTAAAAATGAAGTGTTGACCAAGTAGTGAAAGCAAATATGAAGGTCAATAATTCCTTCTCGTACACAGATAAAGCAACATAGAATGCATATCAAAACCTTGCCAATGAAAGAAATAGGGTGGTCATGTTGCATAAGGATAACAAGAATGCCAATATCACTGGCATATGTTTCAACAACAAATGAAATAGAGTAATTAGGTAGAGCAGGAACATGTGCAGTAACCATTGCTGATTTCAACTCCACAAAGGCTTGAAAAGCACGGCCAGACCTCATGAATTGTCCATTTTCAATTACTCGGTGAGGGGTCTGGTAATGAAACCATATCCCTGAGTAAACTTTTGTTAATAACCTGCCATACCTACGAAACCCCTACATTGATTAAGGGTACTAGGAACGGGCCAACTCTATAAAGCCTTTATGTAACACTCCAGAAGTCCAAAATCTAATCTAGAGCCTCACATATTGAACTCAGGTTGGTAACACTGTTTTAAGGCTTAAAATATTGCATATAAATCATTTAGGAAGTTTTAGAGTCAAAACGTCAAGGAACGTCCATGACGTCCGATGGATTGTGAAAAGAGGTAATTGTGTCTTGGCATATTTCATGGGGTTTTAGAAGTCGGAATTCAATGAAATTTGGTAGGATGATGTTAAACATGTATTAGAATATGTTTGAGGTCGAAACGTCTGGGTACGACTCCCCAAAGACCACCCTAAGGGTCCTTTGAGGAGGACCCTTTAAAATGACAAAAAAGATGTCAAAAGACAGTAGCCATCTACTGTTGCCAAACGATGAGCCGTCGTCTTTTTGACGGGGCGTCGATGTCTCCGTGCCCCCAGCCTTAGACATTTTCCAAAAGTTGTCCAAAGGACTAGTCTTTGAACTTATCGACGGACGTGCAGTACGGGAGACATGGCTGGCGTCGACTGACCTACGGACCATAGGTCGGGGTGTCGTAGGTCAGGTCTGTTATGGACTGTTCAATTTTTAATGAAGCCACTTAATTAGTTAATTAGTTGGGGGTTAATTTGGGGTTAAGAGATGTTTGATTTAGTTAGTTAAGAGACTATAAAAGGTCTAACACTCATTAAACTAACCTAACACTCTTCAATTAGAAAACCCAAATCCTCCACCTTCTCTCTACTCTCTCTCTCTCCTCAATGAAGACCCTATTGGAGACCAAGGTCAAAGGGCTTAGGTCTGCAAGAACTTCACTTTCTATCCATCAATATTCAAGGATTAACAAGGTATAGGAACTCTTCACCTTTGGGACTCATTTCCCCAAAGGGTTCTTTCAAATTGATTTCCAAAAGTTGAGAAAAACATGGGTTTCATTCTTAATCCTAAATTAATGTTTCAAATTTTATTGTTCTTGATTTCTTTTTATTAGTACGAATGAATTATGATGGATTATTGGTGATTTAGGGTAGTTCTTGATGTTAGACCTAGTTCTATGAAAGAGATCATGAATTGACCCTATTTTCCTAACCCTAGGTTATGAATTGATGTTGAATTGGTTAGTGATGATGCAATTGACTTAGTTCTTGTGTTAATTAATATATTATGATATTATTAAGTCTATTATTGGATTAATATGGTTGGTTGATGGTAAGACCATGGAATAAGGCTTGTGAAAGTGAATTGGTAAGACCTATAATTTTGAATCCTTACTTCAATTGTGATGGCTTATAATTGATGCTGGTATTCAACTTAAGTGTTGGTTTTGATTAGATTATATAGGTGTTGGTATGATGAATGTAATTAAAATGTCTTGATCATATGGATTGTGAAATTTTGATTAAGGTGTAATGATATAAGGTTGATTGTGAATCACTTATGTGTCTTACTATAACATGATGATGCTAATGTGTTAATCTCACATATAAGGGTTGTTATGAAAGGAAGTTCTCATGCAATTTCAAATGATCTAATGATTATTATATACAAGGGGTTAGTCCTCTATGATCTATACAAAGCTATGATGATTTATAAAGACTTAAAGACATTTTAAAAAAGGGACTTTAGCTTAGCACTGAGTGAACTCGACAATGAGAGGTGTTGACTCCCTCATAGAAGGGAGATTCACCAAGGGTTACCATGATATAGTGTCTATAATGGAATTGTGCATAAAGAGAATCCAACATATGTCTCCTAAATCTGAACTATGTTGCCCCATAGGAATACTAGTTAGTGGATCCACCTAGAACACTATGTTCATGTTTTGGTACTACCTTGGCAAGTAGTCCACCTTCTTTCAGTGTAGGTTTTCATGACACTGGATTCCACATTAAGGCAATTGTTTCCCGAAACTAAAATGAAGTAATAAATTGAACTCTAACTATGGTGACTTAAGGGGTTTGGCTTAGTCTAGCTAGGGGTATGTGACTCTACCTATACATTGCACTAGTTGGCGAATCCATAGGAGGATGTTCCTATGTTCTTATAAAGTAATGATATGCATATGTTGACTTTACATGTTGATGATCCTATATGATGTTGGTTTCACTTATGAACATATTGTTGGTCTATATTGCTACATATGATGATGACTACTCATGATGCTATGTTATATTAAGTTAGACATTAGTTGTGATCCTTTGTTTGGTTTACTTGGGTGAGTGGGGTTATGGGGCTTCACTTGGTCATTGCACTTGTAAGTTTGGTAATAGGTTATGAGTAAGGGTCTTACATATGTTGTAATGGTATGAACTCTTGTACATACATTATTATTATAACATGATTTTGGAGTTGCTTTAGTTATGGGTTCTTATATGTTACTACACATGTTGACTTGATCTATTTGATGATGTTGATCTTGTGTTGTATATGGTCTTCTATTAAGGGATATGTGATCATTGTCTTATATGTGTTCTTGGTAGTGCACAAGGCTTTTCAAAGTAACTTGGCATGATTTTGAACAAATATCCCTTTAAGCATGATTTCAAACATTATCTGTTGATATGTTTCCATACTTAGTACAAGTGGATGTACTAACCCATTTACTTTATATTTCTACAATTATGTAGGTTCCGATTATTGAGTTCTTAGAAGGCCAATTGAAGAAGACTTGAACTCTTTTCCCAAGTGTTAGTAGATCTTTATGTTCGGGGATGTTACCTTGTTCCACATTCTAGCTTTAAAGTTGTATTGTCATAAAAACATTGTTCATTTCTTTATCATTTGGATATTTATGTAAGCCTATATTGGCATGTTTACTTTGTATTGGCTATGTCAAAGATTTGTACTCGTTTAGACGGTTCAATATCAGAAGAAGTATTAGACTAATTCTTATTTATTGATTATGTTATCTAAAAGAGAAGCCAATGCAAGATTTTTGTGTGCGGTTTCTATGTAAGCTCTATACGTAGTATGCGAGAGGTGTACGTAAACCTCATTATATAGTTGTATATGAAAAATTTAAATTTTTCTGCATTTGTAGCCTATGATATGTGATGACAAATGCTAAGAGGCTAGTCTTAGTCCTCTCCGAGGATGACGACGCCGATTACGTCTAGGGGGTTCTCCCCGATCGTGACACTTTATCTTTCTTTGGTAGTGGAAACCCCTTCATAGGATATAAAGAAAACCCCAAGTATTCGACCTTAGAAACCCTAATTACACACTTTGATTGATTTGCCAACAATTGATGGTTGATCATAAGATCAAAACTAACTTCAAATGGTTGGCATGATCTTGTAATGACCTGTTATATATCAAAATGTCATTAAAGAATATTAGTACAAATTTCCTCAAATGTTGCTGGAAAATGTGATTCATAAAACATTGGAATGTAAAAGGTGCATTAGTTAAGACATAAGGCATAACTAAGAAGTCATAGTGACCCATCTGAGTTTCGAAAGCAGATTTATGGACATTATCATCTACCATCCTAATATGGTGATAACCAGATCTTATATCCACCTTAGAAAATACTCTTGATCTTTCCAAATCATCTAGGAGATCATCAATAATAGGGATAGGAAACTTATCTTTTATTCTCACTGATTAAGATCCTTATAGTCTACACATAATCTGTATGTTCCATCTTTTTCCACAACCACCACTGGAGAAAGATAAGGGGTTATTACAATATTGAATAACAACTTGTTGGAGCATGTCACTTTCCACCTTCTCTATAATATTTTTCTTCATAGATGAATATTTGTAAGGTATGATATTAACAAGTTTGGATCCATATTGTAAATGGATCTTACGATCAAATAGAAACCTTAGAGGAGGTAAGGTTGTAGGTTTAGAAAATATCTTATGATATTGATTAAGTAAAACAACAATTTCAGGTGCTATAGTTTTCTCCTTCGGTAACTATAGGGCAAAATTCTGTCCCACGGAGTCTTCCCCATTCATAACTGGCAGCATTTGTAATATGAATAGTTCAACCTCATCTCCTGATAACTTGTTCATAGCTTTAGAACTGGTTAACCTACAATCTTCATGCACCTCTTTAAGTATATGTTTCTGCCCTTGGTGATTGAACGACATAGTAAATTTGGTAAAATACATGGTCTTTTGACCCAGTGTCTTCATCCATAATGCTCCTGAACAATATAATATCTACCAATAGGGAACATTATTAAGTTCCTGCAACATCCACTCAAAGTTCTCAACGACTTCAGTTATGGTCTCCTTAGCATTGTTACCAAGACTCATATAGCTCGTGGGAGTAGGAATAACAGTGTATCATGACCTTTTCACACAATCATTACAATAAAGTTGTATGTACTACCTCTATCAAGTAATATTTGAACTTGTCTCTTACCACTATATCCCTTCACATGAATAGTTTGAGAACCTTGAACTCCGGAAATGGCACACAGCGAAATCAAAGAAGTAGGACCATTGACTATCGTTTCACCTTTCACATACATTTTATCATTAATATGGAGATTTCAGTTCAACTTTTAGATCTTCTAACTCAATACTTTCCATTTCTAGTATATATAACTTCTTAGGGATTTTATATTTATGACCAATGTTGTACTTCCCATTGCAAAAGCAACACAACCCTTGAGCCCTTTTTGTTTGCTTTAAACCTAGGGAGATAGTTCTCCTAGGTCTGTCTTCAATAGAAAATGATGAAGTCAATCGAATTCCCTGATTATAATGGATAGGTTGTAGCCTTGCAACAAGTGTCTCCTGATGTTGCTTCCTAACTATTCTTCCTTATATTCCATATGCTCTTGGGATCTAGCTTTAGCTAGCTGAGTAGATTCTATTAGTCTAGACAACTTTATCACCTTAGACAATGTTTCTGGTTCATGTATCAGCATAGTCCCTACCAATTCATCCTTCAATCCACCTAAGAAACACGAAATGACTTGGACAGTAGTGAGATTACATTGTGTCAATAGTCTACTAAATTCAAATCAAAATTTTGATATTGTTCCAATTTTTGTTAGTTGCTTAAGTTCAAGCATAGGATCAGAAAAATCATCCCTAAATGTTTATGTTATTGCTCTCAAGTATTCATCCACCTAGGTACGTTAGGTGTAACTCTACACCACAGGTAAGCCTGGTGCCAAACTAAAGCCTTATCTTCCAAGTTCATTGCTACCTATGATTTACTGGAGTTTTATCGATAGAAAAATACTGATCTATCTGATACAACCACGTTTTTAGATGTTATCAATTGAAATGATGAAAAAGTAAATTATGATTACAATGGTTATTATTATGAAACAAATTAGGGCCCAAGATTCCATGACCACCATTTGATGGTGGTTAATTGAACGTGAAGCCGCATATATCTCCTTGGCTTGTAGGTGCAGTCGCATTCCATCAACAATGTCCTTTAATGATTGGGCTAATCTTATCACCTCTACTGGTGTACGATCTATGTTCAACCTTAATTCCTCATGTCACTCGTCCATAACAGAGTGTAGATCCAATTGTTGAGCTGTCAGATCCTCAAACTGCCCTTGGACATTATATTCAGTTGCTTCAGAAACTGTTTTAATATTTTTTCGTGGTCTCATAGTGTAAGATTATTCTACTCTAAGTTTAACACATTCAAATCATGTCTTACAAGTATCATCCACTTCTATTGATATTACTCAATCAGAATTAAAGGAAAATATAATGAAAAGTAAAAATGGATACTATAACTGGCTCTAACTACTTTTTCCGTCAAAATAGTGATCATGATAATGGTATAATCGTCCCATTCATCAATGATGTGGCACCAACCATGTGATTGAAGAATTACATGGATCTTGAACCCATATTGGTATAGTTTTCTTTCTATATTCATGCATTGACATTATTTAATTTTTTTTGTGTGTTTGATTGTGAGCATTTGAAATAAGAAAATTTTGAGATCTTGCTTCTTTTTTTTTATATAAATATTTTTTGGGCTTTTACATAAAATTCAAATTTTAATGTATGTTCATAGTGGTTCTTCTCTCTTAGAAAAATCCTCTCTAGATTTTCTTCAAAATTAGTAATAGTAAATTGAGCGATTTTCAATTGTCTGAATAAAATCTTTGTAAATAAACATTGCAAGTTTTCATAATTCTCCTCTCTGAGCTTGAATGAAATTTGTAATTGTGATAATTTTTTTGGTGGGTTTGGTTGATGGATGAAAAATTAGTGGTAGTATGACTTTTAATTTCGATAATGATAATGAAACTCGTGTTTTTGATGTGGATGATCAATTTATGGTTATGATGAATTTCAATGATAGTGATGTGATTTTGATAGTGATTTAGTTAAACTTATGATGGGTTATCAATTTTTTATGATGACAATGGTTGTGGGAAGATTCCGGTGGAAAATTTGATTATGGACAGTGAAATATATGGTGATAGAAAAGTGAACTTAATGATAATAGCAACAATGATAGTGATTTGATGGTGAGTTTGAGGGGTGTATGGAGAAGAAGAAGAAATTGGGTGACATGAATTTTTTTTAAAAGAAACTTGCATAATTAATGTGGCAGTGACATGGTGATGACATGACACGAGCGTGAAACACTTTCTCATCATGTAATTGGATGTATGTGCGTCAAGGTTGAAATAAATTAACTTTTAAGCAATTCAGGTGTTTCATAGTTCATCACAATAGTTTAAGTGTGTAACCGATTTTTTCTTACAAATTTAGGGGGAAGTTTATACATTTTACTATATTCAGAGCCAAGTGTCAAAAATACATCAATTTTTTTAATTTAAATTTTTATAGCAAGAGTATAAGTTTCATAGTTAAACTATTACCTATTAGTTTGAAAATACGCTTCATTGATGTGTACAATACACTATCTTATTTTTAAAAAAAATACTTGTCACATAGTGCCACATGGATAAAATGTTCCACCTTGACAAAAATTAAACAAACTATTAGTATTAGTTAAAAGTTAAAATTAAAATATTACAACCCAAAAAAAAAATTAGAAGTAAAATTCAAAGTATTTTTCAGACCTCACTTCTCCACATCCTTCCTCTTAGCCCCTTCCCCAGACAATCCCCCTGTTCTTGATTGTGTCTTGTAATAATTGGACACTAACAGATAAGATGGATCAACTAAACTTCACAATTATGTAGTACCTTGAAAAGAATTTGTATTAACAAAAATGTCAAACCTTAAAAAGTAGTGAAGAAACCATTAAAACGAAGTGCTTATCAAGCATCCCATCGACTTTTCACATAAAATCAAACAAACGTGTATCGATAAAGACATGCCATAGGTTGGTAATTGGTATACTAAGAAATACTTCCCAGTGATTCAAAAGGCACATCTACCCACACCATATCAACGCAAAGTGCAAGTCCAACACCTAGGTACCTCTGAGGAGTTCAAGCCTGGTGAGGTGAATTCCACCGATATCATCCAGCAGCACATTAAAGGTCTCTTACTCGCATTAAAGGGAAAAAACCCATAAATAAATAACCCTCCACACGTGTTCCCAGAAATCCAGTAAGAATGTTTAGTTCAATGAATATACGATATATATATATTAGGAAAACAAGGTCAAAACTACATTATAAAATGACACTCTCTTAGGTATTGCCATTATATACAAAGGTAGTGACGGAAGTAGTTTACAGAAAGTATTTCATCCTAACATCTCTCTTCATGGCCTCGTATACAGCTTGAACCTGGACAAGGGCAATCGTGTCATAGAATGGATCATGGCACAGTGGATTTACAAATTTAAGGTGCAAAAGACAAAGGATATTACCTGCTCACTGGAAACAACTTGAATGGGTCCGATATTTACTGATACGTATTTTCCACCTGAAGATAGCTTCTGCTTCACCTGTCCCTGAATAGAAGCAGAAAAACCTTAAGATATGGCTCAATCTAGTTCGCCTTGACACAGAGGTTAAGGTTCGATTCAGTTCAAAAGATTTCTTGCTTTGTCCTCAAATCCTGTACATGAACTAATGGTTGCTGAAAAGCAAAAAGAGGCTCAGAGCCTCAGACTAGAAGGTTGGGACACCACCTTAAGGTATTTTGGCCCGTAAATTACTTTGGGGTTATTTGGTTGTTAGTTTGAAAGAAAGGTATTCATGTATTAAAACTCACATAGTTAATATCATGTTGGAAGTTTTTTTAGTTGCTTTTTATAAAATTCAGCAATCAAGAATGGTGTTTGATTATCATTTTACAATTATATATTAGTTTATGTGCGGTAGAAGATTGGAATAACTAATACATTGATTGTAATGCATGAATAACTAAACTTTAGGTAACTAATTTTTGTATAACTAATCTCTACATTACTAATAACTGCATAATTCTAACAAGCAACCAAATGACCCCTTACTGTATGTAGTCTGATTATTGTCAACTTTTCAATCAGTTGTGCTGACAAAACAAAGACATTCCCTCTAGAAGGTCTTATTTTGTAAATGAAGCATGTACATTTCTACCATAGATACAAACATCATAAGACAGATTTTCCCAAAGATGTAGGACATGAAACAATGACATGACAACCAATGCTTTTTTACAACCGAGAAATCATTGTTGCAGCTTTGGAACTCGGTGGGTATTGGATTCGCTCCTCTACTCTTCTCCACTTAAATATCACACTTCATTCAAAGCAGGTTTTGAATTCGCAATGTGCATCGACCCCACATCCCATGCTATAGTATCTTTACCATTGAACCAAAGCTATGGGGTCATGAAAACGAATGCATTAACTAATGATATGCCTGTATATAGCTCCGATCATTTTTTGTGACATGTGAATCTTTTTTTAAAAAACAGATATAGTTCCAATACATCATATATTATTATAAATGGAAAGATTAAAAACTCAAAGTTGAATGACCATTTTACCCTTATATTAAAATAATTAAAACAAATGTTATAAAATATGTTACAATATTTAATAAATAACTCATTTACATGAATCAAATTCACATTAGTAATTCATTTCTCTTTTGCAGTAAAAATCATGAGTATTTGAAGAGTTTTTTTAAATAAATTTGATATGGACTAAAATCATCGAACTAATTTAAGGCAAATAAAATTTACCTACTCAAAAGTCATCCGAGCTACTGCTTTAAAATACATAGCATGGTCTCCATGTAAGTGATAAGAGGATGATGAGAGATTATCAAGTAAAAAATTAGTCTTGCTCAACATTTTGTATTGCAGTAATTTTCTTTTGTTTTTATCGATTCCTTCTTGTCAAGCTTTTGTATTTTGTACATCCTTTTTTAATATTTTGATGATATGCGTTCTTATGGTTTTGTTTTTCTATTGGAATATCTTTTCTCCTATATGAAAATTAGAGTTATACAATATAATTCATGTTCAACTATATTTCTTAATTATTGATGAAATTCATAATGAAAGATTAATTAGTTAATTTGATATGTGACTAACGATAGAGTGCCTTTAGTTTAAATATATTTCGAGATTATTATTTATTAGTAGTGAGAGGAATAACTAAATAAGAAAAATCACATATGATTTGTTTAAAAAGTATTTTTATTTGACTTTTCATTTATATTGTATAATCTATTGATCTTATTAGTCTATTATTTATTTGTGGAAACATTCATTTTTCAAATTGACCAAATATCTAGAATATAAACATTCATTCTTCAAATTGACCATATATATAGAATATAAATATTCATTCTTCAAATTGACCATATATCTCGTATATGTCATTTCGAAAAGTTTGTGTTGCTCTATTTATATTAATTATTCAAAGAGAAATTTTATGAAAAAAAGAGTATTATTCTTTTCTCTTCATAAATCATATGTACAATATTTCTCTTAGGTTTAAAAGAAGATGTACATGTGATTCAATAATAAAAATAATTAACATAATAATTATGATTGGTTGCTAGTGTGTCTCGTAATACATCAAGTGTTTATATCATTTCCATATGTACCAAATTGATGATATCTTTTAGCACTTATAAATTGTATGCATCAAACCTCTATTTACTGTGATGAGAAGTTATTTATTGTTGATGTAAAATTTTAATTATGGCTGGAAAATTGTGAACTTTGGTTTCCAAATTATTGGCTGGACCCATAAATAGTTAAGTAGTAACTGTCAAAATTAGAATGTCTGCTTTTGGCTTAGAGATATTATTTTATTTAAGAGAATGTGATATTCTTTTGCCCAATTATTGAATGTTAATTATTATTTATACTCATAATTTTTTAAAATGAAAGTTGAATATGAAGATTCTCTCCACTATTCTGTAAAAACACTTTCAGAATTAAAATTTCAACATGCCTTTTAAAAATAAATTTACAAAGATTTATGTTATGTGCATAATTCAACATGAGAAAAAAAGAGAATGAGAAACTACAAATGAAGGATAACAAAAAATTCCTCAAGTATTCATAGTATATTTTTTTAGTATTTACTGAACGAAATATAAATGGTAAAACTACTATTGCTAATTTCAGCATTTCCTATTTTATAATTCGATTTTTTAGTATACAAAAAATTAAAAAAGGGACAAACGTGCAGCACACGTTCCCTAAAACTAGTATGGCCATAAATATCAACTCCTGTCAACTCTTTGCAACACAAATACGTTGTGTAATTAGTAAATTATTAGAGTGGCTAGCATATCCCTGAATACTGACGAATACAAATACCAGTTTCAAAAAAAAAAATACCTTGTGTTATTTTATTTTATTTTATTTTATTTTTGATAAAGCTAACAAGTTTTTGTATAAATCTTCAGCATTAAGGTTGGTGTCCCAAAAATTTACATCACAGAGCTACTTACAATTGAGTAGGCTCAGCAACCCCCAAAAAAAGAAAATCTATCTCTAGGTCCCTATCTCATCTTACAAGAAAATACCTTGTGTAATTAAGATTACAACATTAGTTCACCTCTTCCATTGTAATTTTTTGTACTCATACAAGAAATACATTCTAGGAGCGCAAAATCTATAAGTCCCTCCGTTTTATGTTCTGTGACTCTATATAACTAAGCATGATGTTTAAGAAGAAAGGAACATTTTTAAACAAATCAAGATGATCCTTGATGTAAGGGGTTAGCTTATCTTGATCCTTAATATATATCATTGGATAGAAATAGTCCTTAATGTATGCAAAATGGGTGTCATTTTGATCTTAAGCCCTAAATTTAACTTTTCTCTGTTAAAGCTAACGTTTATTTTTCAAGATCATCCCTTTCTTCTCCTTGGTTGCTCTGCCTCCCTCTCTACTTCTCTCTTAGCTGCATCTTAAATAGATTTTTTAAAAAAAAAAACTTTTCATTTTTGAACTATCTTTTGAGTTGTGTTCGTTGATCCCTAAAATAGATAAATTTTACTTTTTCCACCTATATGTAGAAGTTCATACCTATCAAAAATTATTTAAAATTTGACTCCTCGTTTTCCACAATGAGCATGAATAAAGAATAAGTATTCTACAAGCCCCTCGTCTTTTGAAGCATTCCTATTAGTTTTTTACTATTTTTCTTACTTGTCAACTCTTCAGCTTTAGAAAAATTCAATACTTGGATGTGAATTCAATGATATACTTATTTGAGCAGCTTGTTTTGTTTTTCTGTTGATGATATAAATGAATTACTTTGATTGAATCCACAAAAATCATATAAACAGACAATATAATGATACAAGCAGTAGCATAACCATACTTATGACAGACACACATGATTCTCCAGTATTTTCTTACTATTAATTTGAATGAATTAGATAATTTTTGGATTGGATGAACTGATTGGTTAATTCAATGAAACATAAATCCAATAGGTGGGCTTTTTTTTTTTGCCCTTTCACTGAGTCCAATGAATTTTCAGTTGACCTAGAAGTTACTTTAGTTAAAAGGACCAAAAAATATTTATTTTAGGTTGCAGAAGTTATGGGTGAGTTTGAATAAGCATCAAAATAAGGAGTGGATTAGAATCATCAATAAGAAAAAACATCTACAGAAGAAGAACCAGAGAAGGGGTTGGGCAGAAGAAGAGAGAAATGAGCTTGAATGGGAGACATTAGTTCTTTAATGGAGAAAAGTTAAAGTTAGGGCTTAGGACCAAATTAATACCCCTTTTGCATATATTAAGGACTATTTCTATCAAATGATATGTATTAAGGATCAAAATAATCCAACCCCTATACCAGAAGGACTATTTTGATCATTATCTCTGATATTTGTGTGGCCATCACATTAGAAACTTATGGTCTTAAGCATGTCATCACATTTGTGTGACTAAAACTTTAGGGGTAAACGGGAAGTTCAAGTTAATAATTTTCAGATTTAGAAAAGGATCATTCTTTTTAAAACAAACTTAAAAGGAAATAGGGTCACAGAAACTGGAATGGAGGGATCATAAAATTTATAATTATGACTAACTTTTAGAAAGATTACCATTATGTATAGGATGAGAGAAATTTCATGATATACCTCACAAAACTGGCATTGTTTTGTGAGGCTCTTCTATGGTTGATAAGTGTTTTTCGTAGGTCCTGATCTCCACTCACAAACAAACTCCTGTCCTATACGTCTATTTATTTTTCAAACCTTCTCTTTCAACTATTTCCACTCCCACATTCAGTACCTCCTCCTCACACACCCAAGTTCCTTCTCTCAAACTCCTCTTATACTTGAAAGGGCATAATTTTTTTATTGTATCTTCCATCTCCAATATTTTTAGCTTATTTAACTTAATATTATTAAATCATGGATGAAACTTATTTAGCTTCATGCAACTGTCAAGAATCTTAAAAGAAAATGGGTATGATATTTTTTCTGGCATATTTCAATGATTTCTTAATTACCATATGCCAAAAGTGAAATGAGTAGAACAA